AAAGATTGGACTTTTCCTGATGACGGATCTTCTAGACAGTTTTCTTGAGGGAAGTAGGTCTAAAGAAAATACCAAAAAGATTTTTTGTTTTGTTAGGTAGTGTAGCAATTACCCCTTGGTTTTTCTTTAAACCACGATTCTTTTCCAAGGGTTTTATTTGAACCGAGTGTAGTTAGTTTTTTTTTGGGAATAGGAGCCATTGTGTTTTGTTTTGAAATGAAGCAATATCTCTTGACTTGGTTATGCCTTGAGAATAGTGAGTACTTTGGCTGTGACGCTTAGGCTCAGTTTTTGACTCTTGTATAAGTACCTTAAATTGTATGATTTTAAATTTGCTTAACTGCTTTGACTAGGGTGTCTTGATGAATCCAATCCTGAGTGAGTTATGTGCCATGTGTGTGTAAGGTTTTGTGTTATTCTGTGCATTGCATTTGATGCCTAGAACTTGCCCCGTGTGTTTGCAAAGCGAAATAGTAGTGTTGTTCAGTCTAGGAAGTGATATAGGCATTTCTTTGTTGAGCCAGATATGTATATTTTACCCGCCTAATTATTATGTATCGTAGTTAACCCCTTTGAGCCTGTAATCCTGTTTCTTTGGCAACCACATTACAAGCCTTACCCATTTGTTCGAATTAACCATCTATTTGAACCATTGTAACCTCTCATGAGCACTTGAATTGATTATGAACTATGTAAAAGTTAAAGTGTGGGGTGGTTGGTTTGGCTTTTGAGTGGAACTAATGAAATAAGGAGAAAGGTGCACTGTTTTGAAAAAGTAAGAGCTACTTGAATTGGAAAAAAAAATAGTTGGATTCTTGTGAAAAAAAAATTCCTTGATAAGTGGTGGCTCTTGATGTAAGTGTGCTTAAAGAAGAATGGGGTAATATACATTGATGTGAAGGTGGAGTTTTGGTTTGACATAAGTATGGGTTTGAATGTTAAAGTATATGTATTAAAGTGCTTAGGGAGGTGTAGTCACTCTTATATCTAAATGTATCCTACCCGTCCCGTAGCCTACATTACAACCAAATAAAGTCCTAGTTGATCCAAGATTGAATGAGCTCGATTAGTGGAGTAGTACACTACGGGCAAGCTTATGGTGCATCTTTTGTGGCATATGAATGTTATTTCTGAGAGTGAGTGAATTCTTTCTATCTTGAGTTCCTAAGTGTAATTAAATTTTATTGTGTGGAACTATTCTCTTGTGTTGTGTGAGGGCACTTGATTCATGAAGGAATGGTAATGTCAGTGACCTCTATGTTAGAGTAAGTAGGTGAGTTGTGAATAATGTGTGGTACTTGTGAGTCAAATCTTGAGGTGAAGATGTTACGCTTTTGTGCTTAGTCTATTTTAAATACTCTTGGTGTGATGAGTTAGGAGAATTATTTAAAAAGGTCGTGTCTATAAAAAAAAGTGGAGTTTGATTGCTCGAGGACGAGCAATGGTTTAAGTGTGGGGTGTTGATGATAGGCTATAATTGCATATTTTAGTCGCTTATTACACTCGAATTTACTGCACTTTAATTGAGTTTGAGCTTTAATCGCTAGTGTTTTGCACTAATTGTGTGTTTTATGCCTTGTAGGTGTGATTCCGAGCTATATATATGTTATGGAATGAATTTAAGTGATTTGAAGCTTTGAAGTCTGAGTAAAAGCTCAAGGAATTAAGCCGGGATCTTGTTCGGAGGTCAAATTTGATAATTAAGTACGAACGAAGACTTGAGGAGGCATACTGCGCACTGTCTAGTAAAATAGACATAACTTTTTTCTCAGAACTCCATTTGGGCTCCACAATATATGGTTGGAAAGCTAACTCAAGGGGATACAACTTTCATGTTTTATGTTTTTCTAAATTTCAAAAGGAACAGGGTGAAAAACTGCGGTTTTGCCGCGACCGCGGCAGAGTGTACTCGCGGACAACTGAAGAATCAGAGGGCATGTTTGGCCGCGGTTCCACCGCGACCGCAGCAAAACCGCGGCAAGAAGCGAAAATTTTAGGGACTAAAGTGAAAAACATGGGATTTTATGTCCTAAACTCTATATTAAACAAAGGAGGCCGGCCAAGAACAAGAAGGGGACATATTTTGGACACAAATTAGACCTAAGGAGGCGGAGAGATACTACTTTAGGGTTAGACAACACCCTTGGAGGCAAGAACACATTGGGAGCAAGGCGAAGAATTCTTCTACGAGTTTTCCTTCCTCTTCCTATTTTTCATTGTTGGTTATGACTTCTAGTATTGTAGTTTTACATACTATTATGAATAGCTAATTTGTTATTTAGAGTTTTGATAGAACCTTTTGTAGGATAAATTCTTGTTATGTTTTTATATAATTGAGCCATAGCTTTTCTCTATTTGTTCAACTACGTTTATATTGAAGAGCTCTCAATTAGCTGTGCCTATTTAGTATGCATAACTCGGGAGAGAGTGCATATTTAGGTAATTGTTGAACAACACCACTCCCAGAGTATATGAGGGATCAATAACCGAGGGTTTAAAGGCGGGATTAGGGATAACGAAGCCTTGGGTGCGATCTGAAGTGAGCTGTATTAAAAGCCAGCTAGCGTAGCTCGGGAGAGTGCGTATAGTAAATTGTCGTAATTACTCGGAGAGATTTACGGTAATAAGAGTGCTCATGATCGGTAGAGAATACTTAGGCGAAATTATAGAAGACATAGCGGGAAGGATTCCGAAAATTGGAGAAATCATAACTCTAGGCCTTCTTAATCTTTTCTCTAACCCTCAGTATCGTTAGTTGTTAATTTACTATTTTAATTTGTTAGTTAATTAGTTAAACAGAAGAATCTTAATATCTATAAGTTAGGAATTGTTCAAGCTTGTCTTCTTGGTGATAGTGAACAGCTGTAGCTAAACCTTAGTTCTCTGTGGGATTCGACTCCGGACTTATAAACCGGATTATATTTGCAACGACCGCATTGTTCTTTTTACAAGGCATAGTTGGGCGTGATCAACTGGAGTTCCAACAAAGTATAGCGGTCCAGTATAATATCCTGCAAGTTCATACACAAGTGCTCGAATCTCCATTATATTATGCTGGAACTCTCCGTGTGGTGGAGTTCCAGCATAGTATGCTGGAAGTTCATACACTGGTGCACCGAACTCCAGTATATTATGCTGGACCGGTCTCTGTTGCAGCAAAATAGTGGCTATTTTTCATTGACTTGGTAAACGCTGGCTATTTTTGAATGACCAATCCGAAAACTGGCTAGACCGTGCTATTTTTACGAAATTGTTGTGTAACAAGCGCATAATGTCCACAAATTGTTGACTTTGGACTCACTAAATCTGAAGTCGCGTTGTCGTTTTTATCTTTTCTGTCTCTAAAGGAGGAAAACATGCATAATTTAATTTATATTTTTTCGTGGCTCCAATGCATGCGACATTGCCACTTTGAAAGACCACGTTCGTCTGTTAATTCTTTGAGGAGACGATGAACAAAAAGAAAAAAGCATAGTTGACTTTAAAAAAGCATAGTTAAAAATCAAAGAATTAAAAACACTTAAGATTAATACAAGTGTCACATACATGGTTCCTTGAACCCCTTATAAGAAATCCCACATGGAATGGAGCCAAAGCAAAGAGGCAGTGGCACTTTACTGTTTAGTGATAGGAAATTATTGAACTATAAAAATATATAAGTGCAAAGGTGTTAGATGTGCATTGTAACTGTATGAATGTGGTCCTTCCACATTGCTAGAAAGGTATACATGAAATAGTTGGGACAATTTGTCTTCTTCTTTTTTTCAATTTATTTTTCTGACAATACTTTATCTAGGCATTGTGAGAATGGATCCTAGATAAAAGTCTTAATTAATATTTTCTTTCAATTTTGGTGGGAACCACCAATTTCAGAATTTGTTTATAAATGATGGACGGTTGCATTTCTTGTGAAGTAATTCCAATTTATGATTAGCTTTTTGGGTGTTCATGTCCGTTCTTGTGTTATCTTCTCATATCTTTTTTTTAATCCCTCCACTTTTTTTTTGGGGGGGGGGGGGGTTGGAGAGTGAGGAAGGCGGATAGTCTGTTGTGCGAGTTAGGAGTGGGCATTAGGGCCGTTCAGATTGGATATGAAAATTTCGATTTGATTTTTTGATTTTTAAATTGAAGAAATGACAATCTAAATCCAATCTAAATAATCTCGGATTGGATCAGACTTTTTAAGTTCAGTTCCAGATTTTCGATTTTGAACCTATAAGTTGAGCTTTTTCATCTTCTTATAAAAATGAACATTTAAATGAAGTATTCATATTAAATTGCCTAAAAATTTCTTATTCTCACTGCGATCATCCAAATAAAGTACCCAAGTAATAAAATTATTATGAAGAAAATACAACAGAGACACTAATAAGGCCGATAAGAATAGCAATAGCAAAAGCATATTCAAATACAAAGTATTCTGACGGTAACTTAGTAATTAATATTGAATGTATGAGATAACACCTAATGGGCAAGGTATTGAACTTATTACTATTGCAATATGAATATTGGAATAATGTCTAAATCCAAAAAAATAAAATAAAATTCGAAATACGATCCGTAATTTGAAAATTCAAACCAAAAATTCAAAACGTATTTTGATGTGAATTTCTAGGTTTGCACAACCTATGCCCGACCCTAGTGCGAGTTCATATATAGGTAAAATGATCTAAATTACTCAATACTCACGACATTTACTATGTAAAAGCTCCTTTGACATTGGTTACTCCATGAATTATTTAAAACCAGGTCTAAGTATGTTAATCAAGCAATCAAATCTTTCGAAAAGATAATATTCTAACTTCAAAATTAAACCCGAGTTTCAATTTTTTTAATTTCTCGATTCTTTATAATGCATCCGAATAAATAAAATACGGAATAACTGTTTTTTGACAGGAATAAACATAAGCTCAATAAAGAACCCGAAATAAAATTTAATCATTGTATATACTTGCAAAACAAAAAGAATCATCGGAAAACTACACAGGCGTTGGGCCTAGAGGCGGATCCAGAATTTAAATTTTATTCAATAGTTAAAGATTTTAACATTGAACTCATCAAATTTACAAAGTTGTGGTTTCATATTTAGTATTTCTTACAATTTGAGTGAATTTTTATACGTAACAATTAAACCCACGCTACATACGCTACTGGATATTACTCCTATATTTCTAACTAACTTAGATTATTAGATACAACACCCTCAGGTTGGAGAGATTGAATCCCTATTATGATTTCTTGAACTGGTGCCGATGTTGTAGCTACTTGAGTGTTTGGAATTGCAGTTGTAGTAACAGAAGTGCCTCCATTTACAATTTTTTGGCAAGTTTGAATAAGGCAGTGCCTACAAGTAGGGCAAGAAGAGTGTGAATTGAGCCATTTATCAATACACTTGACGTGGAACCCATGGTTGCACTTAGGCAGAACCTTAACTTTTTCTCCAACTCCAAATTCTGATAAGCAAATTACACACTCAGTGCCAACCCCAGGATATTTCATCAATATTTCTCTAGTGTAATTTATAACTGGGAATGTTTTGAGGGCTTTTTTCTTGATCCCTGTATTAGCTAGCTTTGCTACAGATGGGTTTGTATGGTTTGAGGAATATGAGTTTGCCAATACTCGGCGGCTAGCACACCTCAATGCACACTTTACAATGCAGTTGGCGATAAATGAACAAATTATGGAACATATAAGTACAGACAAGACCATCACAACTTTTGCATCAAATGATGGTTGATCATCTGTTGTGTTTAGGCTGATTCCGGTTGCCGGAGGCGGCGCCACGGTGGTCTCGGGGTGGTATTGTTGTAATGTAGTAGTTGGTATTACAAGTAGTACTCTTCTTGAGTAGTGGAACTTGTCCATTAATTCTTGATTGAATATAGTTGAAGTAGTTGCCATGGAGTTTTGGTTGAGACAATGTGTGTTTTCTTTAATTTGTATATATGTTGATGTTGAATGAATTGAAGTCTCCCCTTTGAGGCAGTTTGCTTATATAGGAAACATTTAAAGGGCTAACATGTGTAAAGTTTTTTTTATTCTTAATATGAAAGTATATTATATTTTATTTTATCCTTAGAGATTATTTGAGAGTTTCAAGCCATGTTTTCATTAACTAGATTTAATTATTTCTAATATAAGCACTATAGATAAGAGTTTATTATAAACAATTGCCAAGTTGACCAACCCGTGTATCTCAATTATCCTCTTTGAAAAAGAAAATGCTGTGACAAAGGTTATTAAAGTTAAGTCTAAGACTGTTGGTATAAACTAATGGGCTATCCACTCAAGATGGGGCCAGCCCACTTTCATTGCCGACTGCCACATGGATATGGGCATTATCGTGAATCAAATGTCCAAACAAATTATATTTGGGACCCAAATAATGCTAATAGGGAGCCCTAAAGCCCTTCAAGAAATTTCCCTGTTCTCTCCACAACATGGAAAATTTGCAAATGATTTATTCTTATCTCATTAGACTTTTGAATAATTATCCAGCGAGAGGTGGATTGAATTATGTGTATTGAAATGTCCTTTCCATCTCCACTTCATCTCATCGTCTTTGACTTTTCCATATATCATTTGACAATTATCTTAAAGAATTCTTATGTGGTGGAACAATTTGTAACTAAATGTCTTCGCATAAACATGAATTGGTAACTTGGAAAAGAAATTGAATAACTTATTGGGATAACTAAAAGCAGTAGGTAACACACTTATACACAAACCTAAAAAATCATTTGATATTTACCTTAGCTACATATTCGATGTCAAATTGTAGTAGCTCCTCCCTTCACTTTTTACCCGTATTCAACATCTTTATAATACTAGACTAGATAAAGGAGAATCGAAGGTGGTCAACAGAGAAACAAATTGGACAAAGTTTTTATGACTATGTTCTATGTGCATGTTATGACCCAAAAAATCAGGTGTCATGCGGAAGCTAGTAAAACAAGTGTTGAATGACGATAAGTTAGACAATAAAAGAGAAATATACCAAAAGAGACACAAAAATTTAGCGTGGTTCAGCCAATTGACCTACGTCCACGGATGGGGATGAGCAATCCACTATATAAAAGAGAGTACAAAATATCGAGAGAACAACCTCATGTAGAGGCAAACACAAGTGACACACTAACACTTGTCCCGTAAAGTTCTCTCCCAAAATACGACTCTCAAACCCCATATGGCTATATTGTGGATGTTACTGAATGAGAAGGAAGGATCCTCAATTTATAGAGATCCAAACTTTTTCCTACAAGAAAAAGGACTAGCTAGCCAAATATAAGAGAATTATAATTTCTTTATACAAAAAAGGAAAACCCAATTATGATAAATATATTTTCATTTCCTTTGGGAGAGATATATGAAAACTAACCTAACCGTGCACGTATTACTTACATACATGATTGGCAAGGAGAAATCAGTGGCTGTCATCATTTCCAGTCGATTGAGATTGGACTGATTAATTAGTAAAATGGAAAATGATACCAAAAGGTATAAAAAGTACTACTTGATCTTGTAAATATATATTTGTAAACCATATATTGGCTATATATCTTTTGCTACGTGTGGTTTAGCTTTTTCTCTTTTTTCTGCAACTATGAGTGCTTTCATATCAATTCTAGATTTCCTAGGTACATGACCAAATCTTCATTTAGGCACTTTTTAAAGTTCGTCTATTAACTTTACTTGTTTATGTAGATTGAGATTTCACCTGAGATCAGCCTCATATGGGATCACATATATATTTGCTTGTTTGTTAATTTAAATTCACACGTATGTGGACCCCACGCATTACCAGTATTAGGATTATATCAAGTGGAAAATAGTTCCTTTTTGCAGGCTGAACTAATACTATCGAATTGTATGAATTCCCTTTTTGTAAAATTCTCTCCTTTCTCAATCAAAAACTAAAAGAAATTTATCTGGCAAAGTTCTCTATCAATACTTTCTTAGCATTAAATTAATCACACAACTTTTCCCATACCTCTTTTTTTTTTTTTTTTAAAAGAAATTAAACTTAAACTAAAACTAAATCCAAAAGAGAATCTAAGAGAAGTCTCATATCTTCCTAACTGTGGTAGATATTTTGTCTAAATATGGTTGTAACAATAAAGATACAACAATCTTTTTATATTCTTCTTTTGTATTTGACTACTATATTATGACCCTTCAAATCAGATACTGAGGAGAAGGATCACATCTTGTTATAACCTATTCAACCAAAAAAAAAAAAAAGAAGAAGAAGAGAGGAGTATCATATAAGGAGAAAACCAAATGGGGAAGTGCACATTTGATTTAATTAAAGGACGAATTAGTTTTTCTAAATAATAGAAGGACCAAAATCAGAATAACGCAGTAACTCCGAGGACTAAAATTGGTATTTTCCCAAACCATATTGCATGAAACAAGTCTTTAGCTCAATTGCAATTCCAAATGCGTAAAACTTAGAATTCTCCTATTTTTCGGTTAAACAGACTCATCGGGGAATGTGTACGGTTTAGGATGATGATCAAGGTCGAAAAATGTCCCATTTCATTCTAGAAAAAAAAAGAAAAAAAAAAGAACCTAAATATTTTTGGAAGTTTTAGACGACTTGGAATAATATAAGTTTGTATAAAGACACATTCTACAGAAGAACTAATGACCAACTTGCCGCAACCTAACAGAGAACAAAAGATGAGAGGAATGTCATGCGAAGGGTAAGGGGAACACGGTCGATTCTGCTAGGTGGGATGAGAGTGAGAAAACAAACCAGTAACAAAGGACCAAAAAGAGAGGCTTGTTTTAATGTATGTATTGTTTGCCAAAAAGCGTTAAACTCTTTGTTAAATTAATTAATGATAAAATAGAGGATAAATCTTAGCCAAGGATAATTAATTCTAGATCTAAGTGCATTGGATAAGAGAATGAGATATAACCAAACTTATAGCCCGATTTAAGATCATTAAAAGGCATCAAGTATAAACAATAAGCTTACATCTTTGGCGTATCGTTCTGTAATGTAAGAGCAAAGAGGAAAAAGAATGAATGCCATTGATAACTACGAGATCTATCTTTATTGATTTGGCAATGACGATTACAAAGATCTGCAACCAAGATCTAGACTTTTGCTTTATTGTTGTTCGAGAGCCTCTCTTGTTCTTCTGCCTTCTGTTTTTAGGAGAAGAAAATCCTCCCCCATCTTGTCTTCTCCTCCTCTATATATACCGTCAGCATTCCCATTTATCCAACGGTCCTTAACCATAATGCCTGCATCCCTTGATTGTACCTCACGTCGCCTCTATCAAATATCACGCCATTTACTTTGCCGTACAAGCTTTTTGACGGATCGATCTCTGCAATGGCCGAGATACTTGTTGTTATTACGCCTTGCGGGCACGACCACAACTCAGTCGACCCCTTACCATTCCTTTTAGCGCTAATCCATGTGTGGTCAGATTTTGACCCATACAGTTAGTCCCTCCGCCCGTTGGGGTCGCCTCTTGGCGAGCTCGATGGGCGGATTCTGTTGATTCAAAAGTTGGGAGAAATCTGAACGCTTTATGCGAGGGGCGAGAACCCTATGGCGAGGTAGCAAAGTGACGCTTCGAGAATTGTGTTAGACCGTTACGTCAGTTCAAAAATGGACCGTCACGTCAGTTCGGGATGTCATCAATATTCCCCATGCGTCATTATGGCGCATGTTTCCTAGGTGTTGTGTCGTTTCCCGTGCCCCTTTTTTCTAACTGGCGGCTCTTGTTTTTCCGCTCAGGGCTTTTATACCCCTATAAATAGGGGGGAGCCTCTCGTCTGAAGGTTACGTTTTTCAATTGCTTAAGAGAGAACTTCACAAATCTTCTCCCCCTTCTTTGATCCTTCATATTCCTGCTTCTGCTAGGATTCGCTGTGACCATTGCCTTTTCCCTTCATCATCTTTGTTTCTTTCGATCAGAGAAAACGAATGGCTAGTACTTCTTCCCACTCTGATAAAGTTGTAGGTGCTCCGATGCCGGAGAATGACATATCCCTACTCGAAGAGGGAGTGGAAGTGGTGGAAGATGAGGGGTTTCCGATGGTGGATGAGGTGGTTCCCCGCCCGGGGAAGGCGAGGACCGATTTTAACAGCCCTACCGGAGATGAACCGAAGCTCGTTCCTTCTATGATGGACGCTGCGGCGATCACAAAGTTCAAAGCCAAATGGGGGATCCCCGATCACATTGAAATGGTGCCGGCGGATAAGGACATAGTGCAGTTGCACCGCCCGGGCTACTGCGTATTTTACGCGTATCCCTTTATCATTGGGTACACGCTTACCCTTCCTTCCTTGGTGGTGTATTTCTGCCGCTTTTATGAGGTGTGCCCGGCTCAGCTCTCGCCATATGTGTACAAGATCTTCCTCATGCTTATCAAGTATGCGAAGCTAGCCGGCCAAGGAATTTCCCTAGGGTACATGCTCCACCTCTTCGCCCCCCATTTTCTTCAGGGTACGATGATTCATATGCGCCATCGAGGAGCGAAGATTTTGGTGGTGAAGATAGGCGATAAGGCCAATCGTCGCTTTTGGGAGAGCTACTTTTATGTCCGAACGGAGCATGTCGTATCGAACCTGGCGGGGTTTCCTGAGACATGGAACTTTGCTCGTAAGTTTCCTTTCTGTTTATGCAATTTTTCTAAAGACGGTCGCCGGCCATCTCCCTCTAACAACTTTGCTGAGGATTTGCTATTATTTTTGTAGCCTAGAGCCTGCCTCCCCCGCTAGTTGCCGATATCTGCGAGTGGGTGAGTGAAATTCTTCCACACGATGAGGATTCGTGAATGGGCGTCTTTCCATGAGAAGTTTGGACGCAAGCCTCTTACTAGTGAGTTGGTTCGTTGTGGTTTTGCTTTGTCCTCCGTTTCACAATTTCTATAACCTTGTCGTTATATGATCAAATCCCTCCTTATTGATAGGTCGGAGAGGAGTGAGAAGGACGAGG